AAAAATACAATTTCATATCTTTTTTTAAAGAAAAATATGTTAAAAAAGAATTCAATTCACATCTGAAAAGAAAGTCAAACATAATTTTTTCGATTTTGATGGAGGTATAATTGTAATAGAACTTTGCGTTTCACCTGGTTTAGGTAAATTTCGAGATACTGGTTGCCCATTTTGTCTATTTTTTAAGAAAAAACATAGTAGTTTTATTTCATAACATAATTGAAAAAGCCTACTGAATTTTTGTTGTTTTAAGTGATAAAGTACTACGTTTATTAGTATTTGATTCCATGTGTAATTGATTTTGGCTGTAGCTAATTATTGTTAAAAAAAGAAATGATTTAAAATATGGTCAAAAACGTTCGAAAACTTACGATTGTTTTACTGTTGTTGATGTCATTCCATCGGTAGCATCGCTATCGATATTTGTATATTCACGTAGAGTACTTTGAGTAGTTGATGGACTACTTTCGTTTCTTGAAACTGGATTATCTGTATCAATTTGATCTGAATCTTGTAGATCATCAGTTTGTTGATTATTATTATTTATAAGAATTGGTACTTTATTTTTGATGACCATTAAATGTTTCTGTAGATTTGATAATTGAAATCGATCATTTCTAAGGTATAATTTGATTCGGTCACCACATATACAATGTATGTTACAAATTGGTTCAGAACGATCATTTATATGTTCGATCATAACTTTAAAGTCTTTTGCCATAATATTCGTATTAGTAAAACCATGTATATTGTTTTTAATACTTGTTAATAATTTTGAAATTGATTCGTTGATAAACGTACTATATTTTTTAAGATTGATTTCAGTATCACTTGTGTTACTATTAGATGATGATGATGTTGAACGAGATTTATTAAGTCGATTTAATCGTGTTTGAGACATTAGTAGAAGCTTTTTCTTATTAACAACATCTTGAGCTAATTTTAATAAACTAATCAATTTGTTTTTAGTTCCAATTTTTAACGATGTTATCTCTTGAATTATATGACATACTTCCTTTTTTAAATTAATTAACTCTTCAGAAGTATTTGTATCATTAGGTTTTTCAAATATATCGAGTATTTCATGTTTATCAGTTTCACCTAATACGACATAATTATCAATATCGTGATAACGTAATATTTTTTCAATAAATTTTCCATAAACTTTTTCAATATGTTGATAAAAACTTTCACCAAAAAGAGTAAGAAATTGTTGAAATTCATTGTCGTCCATAATTCAATTTAATAAAATTCAATATGGTAAAAAAATAACAAAAGGATACAGATGAATATGATAAAAAAAATGGATTAGCGACAAATTTTGTTAATTTTTTTGTTGTTTTAATGTGATTAACTGCCAAAAAAACGGTTTATCGGATGTGTAAATTATTTGATAACTATATAGGCAATCAAATACAAGTAGATAATTAATATAGCTAGATGTCATCCTATTATGTGAGTGATGAATATAAAGAATGAACTAAAACAGTTTAATCACAATATAATATTTAAACTTTCTCTGCTTTATTAAAAAAAAAGGTAGTTTTAAATAATTAGATCGAGTAAAAGAATGAATAGTGACTTTTGACAGGTATTATAGATCTCATAGATTTTACTTATATTTTGAACAATGATTTGATCATTCGTAAATACTGAATTAGTTGCACAAGCTATTTAAACATTCTTTTGAAATCTTTTGACATGCTCGTCTACATATAGCAGATATGTGCGCAGCTAGATTAGTTTAAAATTTTTCGTTGTCTTATTTTCATATAAAATATAGTGTAATGTCTTGAATTAGTAGTTTGTTCAAACGTTTAAACCTTCTTTTTCTTTCTAAAAAAGTATGATAACCTTAGTTTTTAGATTTATGACGTAAAAAAAAATATAATATTAAACATTGATTAATATTTGTGTTATATAGCCGGTTCAATATGTATTCTTTCTAACCATCCATATCAGATTGATTAAATGGTTCACGCTACCAGTTCAATTTATCTATATAATATTTTGATTCCAAAGAGTTTTTGTCGATTGATCTTACAAATGAAATATAACAGGAAAAAGATTTTGCACTAGAGTGAGTCTATAACATAGCTATTATTTGCAACGAAACAATGAAATATTCTCATTATCTCTCGATAGTTGACAAGCTGTTTTAGTAGATTTGAATAGTACATTGAAAAGTAAAATGAATTTTAGTTTATCCGAAGATTTTTCTGCTGAAATTCGCATTGAATCTACCATCTTATTTTTAAAGAACAGCAAGCCTTACCAAAACCATAATATCAGTAATAACGACGAGTTTTACTTCAAACTACTTCAATTGTACTTCAATCTACTTCAGTGCTACTTCAATCTACTTCAGTGGTACTTCAATCTACTTCAGTTCTACTTCAATCTACTTCAGTGGTACTTCAATCTACTTCAGTTCTACTTCAATCTACTTCAGTGGTACTTCAATCTACTTCAGTTCTACTTCAATCTACTTCAGTGGTACTTCAATCTACTTCACTGGTACTTCAATCTACTTCAAAAACATGTTGAAGTAGATGAAGTCTCGCTTTTTCCCCCTTGCTAATACTACTATTTAAATGACACGTTTAATAACTTTTTATCATATATTTCTACTAAATAGATTGTATGAATAATTAGTTATCATGTCACTAGTACAATAAAAAATAATTGAAAAATCATCTTATGAATTAAATATCGTAACTTTGAAAAGAGTGCATCATACTGAAAATGAAATATTTAATCAGTGAAATTCTCATTCAAATATATTTTATTTTAGATAAGACAAGATTTCGAACTAATATAGCTTAGTAGTTTATATGAACGACTTTTGATCAGTGGTTCATCTGTTTAAAGCTGATCATCATCGCTTCAGGTAAAATTCAATTCATTTGCCGAAGAAGGCTAAGACCATCGAAAAGTGTTGTTGATGACGACTTAGTTCGAATGTTTCATCGCGGACGCATTTTCATTAAAACACCAGTTAAACTACGAACGCACTCATATGCGTTTCTAAAATAAATCGTGCCTAACTGCTTCGTTTGTTTCACACGCAAATTCTAACGCGTTTCAGACGCATTTTTTTGCAAAAAATATTTAAATAAGAAAGGCAGTTTTCTTCGTACGTCATGAGTTTTCTTTCCTACGGAATATGATAAAAAGAAAATGTTTTGAAACTAACATCTTCACTCATTAGATATAATTATTTTCTAAAGAACGTTACCCATGTAAAAAAAAACGATAAAAAATATGATTAAAATCGATTTTTCGAGAAAAATCAAGAAAATATGATTAAATACCCCATTTTCTGATTAAATCTAGTCGAAAAATAGGTGTCAATCGATTATATAAGTTTTAATCGATTTTAATCGTTTAAACCGTAACACATAATAGATTTCAATTGATTTGTCGTATAAAGATTGATTTTCATCGATTAAATTATAAAATAAATAGATTTTCATAGATTTTTCTTATGGAATAGATTTTCACCGATTAATTTTTAAAAAGAAACTATTTCAATAGATTTTTCTTATGAAACAGATTTTCATCGATTAATTTTTGAAATAAATAGATTTTTTGTCCGAATTAGTTTTGTCCTAATTAGTTGGCCCTTAATTAGTATTTTCCTAATTAGATAACACTTAATTAGTGAACCCTTGATTAGGTAACCCTTAATTAGTTCTTTCTTAATTAGTTGGTCCTTAATTCGTTCTCTCCTAATTAGTTAATTCTTAATTAGTTTTGTCTTAATTTGTTGAGTACTAGATTGAGGATTGCTAATTAATTGGTTCTTTGCAGTTTATGAGTCACATAATGATGTAATGTCCTTAACCGTCCGATTTGACTATTGACATCCACGGACGTCTGCTTTTGAATAGTCCGTCTGATATGACCCTATATATACCCATGTTTTTTTTCATTTAGTTTCATTTTACAGGTTTTGATCACTTCGTCGTATGTGGCTGTTTGGATTTAGAAACGTCTGAATTTGAATAGTCCGGCAGGTATGATCTTATATATACCCATGTTTTTTCACATTTATTTTCATTTTAGACGATTGATCACTTCTTCGTATGTGGTTATTTACGTTCATGGACGTCCAGATTCGGATAGACCGTCAAGTATGACTCTATGTGTTCATGTTTTTCTCATTTAGTTTCCTTTTAGACAATTGATCACTTGGTTATATGTAACTATTTATATTCATGAACGTCTTCATCTGAATAGTCCGTCAGGTATGACCTTATATGTACCCATCTTTTTCTCATTTTATTTCATTTTACAAGTTTCCAAGTGCGCATCGCGTAAGTCCATAGATATTGAAATATTTGTAATTTATTTTGTATTTTAGACTATTTACATGGTGAGGTAGGTTGAAAATAGACCTACTTGCAACTAAGCAATACGTATCTCCACGGGATGAACTGATCGCATTTTGTGATGGTGGTGAAGGTCTACTCGCAATACGGAAGGTTTTCACAGTACGTTGCAAAGTAGCCAAATATGGAAGTGTGCAACAGAACAAAAAATGGATCGAAATTTAAGGCCACGTTTAGGTTCTTTTTGTTATTGTCAAGGTCCTTTGGTCTTAGAGTGTGGCACTTGGTAGAACATTGTGAACTGGCTTTGAAAAGGTTTCCTAATGAATCCGATGAACGAAAAGATCGTAATAGTTAAAAAACTATTAACGTCGATTTTTCAAGGTCAAATCGATTAAAATCGATGTAAAAGTCATGATTTTTAACAGATGTTAAATTTGAGAAAAATCTGTTAAAATCTTTTGTTATGAAATATATGATTATCATTGATTTTTCAATGATGAGAAATCGATTTAAATGGCACGATTTTCATCCGATTTTTCATCGGCGAAAAATCAATTAAAATCGATTTTATTGGAAAAAATCATGAAAATCGATTTCCATTGATTTTTTAGGAAAAACAGATTTTAATTGATTTTTTGTTGATGAAAAATCGGATGTAAATCGTGCCATTTAAATCGATTTTTCATCATCGAAAAATCGATGCAAATCAGATTTTTGACGTTTTTTTTTTACATGGGTACGATGTCATCCAACAATAACACAAGCATTACATTAGCGATCCTTCAACTTCAAAGCGCTTTTCGATATCCAAGTCTTATTTTAGGGTTTATTCTATT